AATAGTATTTGTTTTAAAATGGAGATTAAATAAAGTCTCCAGAATTTTATGTATTTTGTATAGAAATACATTTATTTATGTTTTGGAAGCTGCCCCGAGGCTTATGCGAATGGGGCAGCATACAAGTTGTCCAAATAAATAAATAAAAAGGTCTTTACCTGGCTCCAGAAAGAGTAGAGGGTTGGCACCAGGTGGACCTCCCTGGGGAGCATGTTCCATAGTCTGGGTTGCATAGATAACGGTGCTGGTTCATTTCGCCCAAACCCTTTCGCCAAAAACCAGTCATTCTGAGATTTCCCCCACTGCCAAAGCTTGAAATGCCTCTCCTGAGACTTAGCATGGCAAGGAGAGCTTGAAGCTAAAATACGCCAGCAATTTTTGGTATTTTGGCTCTGTTCCTTTGGCCCAGCCCCACGGGGAGGCAATCCCGAAGAAATCCTCCAATTTGTTTTCGACCTTTGGGCTGAAGAGGTCTCCAATCTGATGCTGCCCCTGTTTGCAAAAATGCTCTTAGGGACACAGAAAGTGGTTTGGCCAGTTTCACTGAGCTGGTGTTGCTTATACAGGAACCTTTCCTAACTCTACCCAGGGCCATAACTATAGAATCTGGGTCATTTTGCATGAAAAAATATCCTTTAACACCAAGCTATGTCCTTCCCAAATAACGAAGCGTGCAACTGAACTATAAGAGGCCATATACATGTGCCAATTTGGACTTTCAACTCCCAGAGTTTGGAGAAGTTAGAACAAAACTGGAGGCTGAACTAGGGAACGTTTGCCATGACATGAAACAAATGTCTTTCACAGAGTACTGTGATCTCCGTTTGCTATTGTCTCTTGTGGTCTTTTGCTCTGCTCTGCTGTAATATGTTGGCAAATCACATCCAGTCCTGTGTTTTTACTTTGCATGGGGTGGTAATTTCTCACTTTCAGGCTGCACTTTGGGTGGGACAAAAGCTGAACCCACTGTGGTTCCTGTGAGATGATATCCCTGAAGTTTGTTTGCTTCTGGCACTTTGACAAAGATGTTAATCTGCCGTTTTCCCTCCCCTTCCCCAAAGGGAAAATCACTAGAGGAGGGCTTGAACTAAACTTGAACAAACCAGTTTCTGCCAATGCTCAGCAACATTTCTTACTTATTAGTATCTTGCATTGCATCGCCAACACACCCTGACCTGAAGTTGCAATAATATTCAGAGTGAATGCAAAAGCCTGACTTCTTGTTCCCTGATGTTAACTGGACATGAATATTCCAATATATATGGCTCAAGGCCTTCAACTGTTGGCCTTACAGTAGATAGCAAGCTCAGATGGCTTGAAAATGGGGATTAGGCAAATTCATGAAGGCTAAAGTCACTTGTGGCTACTGGTCATGAGATGCTTGTAGTGATGATATGCTGACAACACATTCCTCTGAATTAGGGAAAAGGGAAAGATTTGTTTAGTTTGCATTTTAATACAGACTTACCAGATCTATGCTCCCCAAACCAATCCACCAGCTGAAATGCATTTGTACATCAGTGGTTGTACTTTTCTGACTTTTGTAATGAATTTCTCAAAAAATGCATGTGCATGTGGACTGTGTGCATATGGAGGGAAACTATGCACATGAATTCATATGTTTAGCTCCTGTATAGACTGAAGTGTCTGATCCTGCCTAATCTTAAAAGCTAAGCAGGATTGGGCCTGGTTGAAATCTGGATGGGTGACTTACTATGTTGTAAACCACCCAGAGAGATGATGATGGTGGTGATGATGATGAATTTATGGCAAGAATGCACAAAAATGTTATATTTTGGGGCAATGCTTTGCAAAACTGGATACAAAATTATACAAAACTTTGTGCAGATTAAAATTAAAAATAAAATTTATGAAAAGTGAGGATCTGAGCCTGGGTGAAATGGACAGAATTGTCTGTTCCTCCCAGCTGACAGGGGAGAACTGGGAAAGAAGGCTTGCCCTCGGGTCCTTTTGAGATCCCCATTTCCTCTATAGGAAATGTAGGACCAAAAGGACCTTTGGACTGATGCAGCAAGGCTGCCATGGTGTTCCAAGGAGAACCGCTTCCTTCATGGCCAGAACAATCCAAGCAGTGCTGAAACTGGGAAAGGAACGGCCTGCTTCTTGTGCTCATCTCCCTGCCCAGAAAATGAATGCTGGGTTGAAAAGGCCATATTATATGAAACATCTAATGCACACAAATGAAAATCACTCTGTGCCAGCAATGGGTGACATACTGAGAGGTCCCCAGCCCCAAGTACCCATCTTCCAAGGTTCCATTTGGATGCCAGGAAGTACTTCCTGACAGTTAGGACCCCCAGGGTATGGAATGGCTTCCACGGGAGGTCGTTGACGCCCCATCGGTGAGGGTGTTCAAGGATCGGCTGGACATGCATATGGTGGGCGTGTCAAGAATGGAGCTGGCTGGAGCCGGGGGTCAGGCTAGATGGCCCGGGAGGCCCCTTCTGACTCGCACTGTTTCTGTGTGTCTATGTTTTACCCTGATGTCACCCTCCACAATGCCTACTTGACCGTTCTCTGCACAGGATGGTAAGCTGCAAGCCAAAAGACTTGGCTAGCACCGGCAGTAGCCATTTGGCCAGGAAGCAGCTGAATTCCACGCTAGTTCCTCCAACTGGAGGAGTGGAAAGAGTGACACTGGCTCAGCCTTCGTCCGAAGGGGTGCTGCAGATGGAGAGGGTGCGGATGAATCCTGAGCCATCTACAGCCTCCCTTGCCTCTCCTAACCTTGCTCCCTATGGAGAGAAGGGCTTCAGGGTGTAGATGGGGCTGGGGGGACAGGAGAGAGGTCTTGCACAGAGGCCAGATGGGACAGCCTGGTAGGCCAAAGCAGGCCCAGGGCTGGAAGTCCTCTATTCCTGCTAATGCCTTCTTAGCCTCGGTTGCTGAGTGCTGTTCAGACCCAAACAGTGCATTCTTATGGCCGTTCTCGAAAGTATTCAGGCATGAATTTTTATGACCCACTAAGGGGAGGGAGTTCCTTATTGCAGGCAGACCACCAAGAACACCACTTGCTCTTGCTCTTTGCTAGATGCATGACCATAAAGCACAGACTTTATAAAGGAGACAAGTCAGTCTCTAAGGCACAGATTATGGATGAAAGAAATTGGGTTGGTACGCTATAAATTTGCTTACTCTTGTTTTCACCTTGGCCAGTGTTCATCATGACATCTTATAATGCTGGATTCCATTTGCTGTTTGTGTGCTGCAGGGAAAAACACTTAATTTTCCTTCCCAGCCCTTTTCATTATCCACTGGCAACATCGAGGATGTGTCGGTCTGTCATTAGTTGTAATGGCTATGTGGAAACGCCAGGTTCAGAAGCAGCATTCCTCTGAGGACTAGTTGCTGGCAAAACAGAGAGAAAACAGGACTCTTTTACCTTGTTGGGTGGAGGAGACATCTAGGTGGACTTTGATGAGACTCTTCTTATATTTCATTCTTCTTTTCTGGCCCTTTCCATCTTTAGCCTTGAAAGACCATATGCTAGGTTGTCTCTGTTCTGAGTCAATTTGCACAATGCCATCATTTCATTTCTTTCATTTCCATACTGCTGCACAGCTGAAGCTCTGGGCAGTGTACAATAATGCATTTCCCATGTCTACTCAGAATCGGTCCCATGGAATTTGTTTATTTATTTACTTATTTAAAGTTTTTATATGCCGTCCCATACCAGAATCTCTGGACAGCTTACAAAAAAACAAAAACATACCAACAAAATGTTCAGTAGGACATCCTCTCAGGCAAGTGTACATAGGGAACATGGCTCATTAAGTTCTACTAGATCCTGGAGAAGAGGAGACTCCGAGGGGATCTATTGGCGACATACAGGTACGCCAGGGGTGTCACACAGAGGAGGGTGGAGACCTGTTCTCCCCTGCAGAGGAGGCAGGATGCGCTCCAACAGAGCCAAGCTCAGGGAGCCAAGGTTCCATTTAGAAGCCAGGAAGCACTTCCTGACAGTTGGGACCCCGAGGGTGTGGAATGGGCTTCCACAAGAGGTCGCTGAGGCCCCATCGGTGCGGGTGTTCAAGGATAGGCTGGACATGCACATGGTGGGCATGTTGTGAGCGGAGCCGGCTGGAGCCGGGGGTCAGACTAGATGGCCTGGGAGACCCTTCTGACTCACTCTGTTTCTATGTTTCTATCCTGTTGGCAACAACATACTGAGCAATGCCCTAAGCAATCCTAAACATGTCTACTCAGAAGTCAGTCCCATTGAATTCAATGGGGCTTAGTCCTGGGAATCAATAGATAGGACTGCAGCCTAAGCGACACCGAATTGGATCAGGGCTAGGACGTTTTTCCGTATCGTTGCAGGTCCAACCAAGAGCTGGTGGGGCTTCTATTACGCATATCCATCACCAGGCTAGCTCCCAGTTTCGGAGGCTCTTCAGCAAGGGACTCCACACCACATGTGCGTGAGCCTTGCCAGGCTCCAGGCAATGCAACAATGACTCATGCACACAACCACAAGCGCAAGTGGCTGCAACAGGCTGGTATGCCGACCTGGCAAGAGAGCACCTGGCAAACTCTGAGGAGGCAGCAAGCAAGCTCAGGTCCCCGTTCGTGCTAAAACTGGAAGTGCTGGATCAGATTTGAAACGGGCTGTTCTGGTTATGCGTGTTCGGGTGGGGAGAAACACTGGGGGTCCCGCACGTGTGTGCGGTCTCCGCTCTGTATGTATATAGTGAGTAGAATGACTCATTGCCCCGAGGCAAGATTGGAAAAGAATCTCCGGAAGAGAGAAGTTTGTTTGGCACTGCATTCCTGATGCAGCTACAGGGAAACTTCTGCGCGCGCTCTCTCTCTCTCTCTCTCCCTCTCCCTCTCCCTCTCTCTCTCTCTGTCTCCCCACCCCTGTATGCACATTGGTGCTTGCAAGGTAGTCTTAGAGACACAGTCAGTATTGAAAGCCACCCGCCCCATTCCTCCGTGTCGGAGGGGGTGAGTCAAAAGTCATGTAGTACTTTCTCCCGTGCCTGAATGAAGCAGTCCAGCTGTTCCCTTCCTGCAGGAGGAGATTGAGTTTCACGCGCCGCGTGAGCTGCAACTTCGCGACTCCGCTCGGAGCGTGGCCGGGGGCCACGCAGTCCTCTGCCCGCGCGGATGGGCGGAAAGCCCCTCCAAGGCTGACCCGGGCAGGCGCTCCGCTTTCCCTGCCCAGCTTGGCACGGCCAGTCGCAGAGGCTGGAGGGAGAAAAGCCGTGGGATTGGCATGCGTGGTCCTTTTTCACTCCAGAGCAACTTTTGGGATCTTGTGTTGGCCTGTTCGTTGGTAAGTCTCTCTTCCCCTCCGCTTATTTTGCTTCCACCAGACTGCAGATCAAAGTGAGCAATTCTGGTTTGGGGATCGTAGTGGTGTGTGCTTTTGCACGGTGCTAAAGAGATCGCATGTAGATTGGAAGGATTGCACTCGGGGATAGCAGTTATGTGATAAGTAACACAAATGTCTTATCTTGTTGTGTCATACCCTCCCTTATGGCGTGTTGTGTTGCAGAAATGACACACCTGGGGGTGTGGGTTTTTGAGTCACTTAGAGGTTAGGCTTTTTTAATAAAAAAAAAAAGGAATTCTAGCACAAGATAACAGGAGATTGATGGACAGTTTGTTTTATGAGTTCTGGGAGAATAGACAGGCCTTAAAGGTGAAGGGAATTTATACCTTTCAGGCACATTTCGACCTCTGTTGTTCTTCTCTCCAATTGCTTTCTCTTTGGATTTAAGAGTTTGCAATCAGATTGTTTTCATCAGCCTTTCTACACCGGATGGCCTAAAAATAAGTTTGGATTCCGTCCTCTATCATCCCCATCCATGCTGCCTGGAGGTGATGGGAGTTAGGGCCCAGCACATCTGGAATGCACTGTATTGGGGGTGGCTGCTACACTTCTTGACTCAGAAATAAGTCCCACGAAAATCAGTGGGCAAATGTCCATTGAGCTGCAGCCTCAGGAAGCTTAATTGGTTTTGTATGATCATGCGAAAGTTCCACGTGCCGCTTTCTTACTGCGGCAGCCTTGTGTACAGAAGCTGAGCTGCAAGACATTCCCAGTGGAGGTGCCGGGGGATCTCACCTCCCTGTGCACTCTAGGGGGCTTGGGGGGCACCGTCTCTCAGCCTCATCTTGCTACGCACTCCGTTTCCAGCATTGTGTCACAAGGCGGTGTGCCCAAGAAGCCGCGTGTCTCATTTCATGGAGCGTAGAAGGACACACCCATAAGTGTTATTGGAAATAAAAGGGGGCAGATGTGCTTTGCAGTGGCTCATGTGGGAGGGCTGTGAAGGGTGGTCCGCAAGTTTCATCCCTGTCGCACCAGCAGTATCCACAGTCTGCACTCCTTTGTCTCATGCAGAGGTGTACTGTCCATCCAGCCCTCGGTGTGCTGAAGGCAAAGCTGCGCTTCTCTTCTGAAGCAGAACTTCTGGGTGTGGGAAGCTGCACGGTGTCTCCATCTGCAGAGCGCATGAGAAGGTGCCTTTATTCCATTTGTCCACACCAACTCTGTGGCACCTAAGTTGGTCAGCAGTGCCTCGCCAAGCTTTTGGACAGGTGTTTCCCAGTCTTACCTGGAGCTGCCAGGGTTTAACTCAGGGCCTTTTGCATGTTATGCTGTTCACGGTTCAGCAGTGTTTCCCTCCCCATTGGGAAACACTGAATCCCTAAATGTGCTTCACGATAGCCAAGACCCCCATGCGTCCGTGCACATGTACTCAACCCGATTAACTGGCAGAAGAGACTGCTTCCATGGCTTACAGAGTTTGCAAAGATCAAGCTGGTTTGCGTCCGTTCTTTGCACACGCCATCAACTTCAGAACAACACTTTTCTTGATCACCTTTTCTAAACAGCAAGGCATGCATATGTCGGTTGTCTTCATAGTTAAATACAGTAATAATTGAGTCTCCTTGCAGGCTTTCAGACATACTTTCAAAGGAAACATATCCAACTGTGAAATAGTTCGGTACTACGTGAAAATTCACATCCTACAGGTGATCTAGTCCAAGTTAAGATTTTCTGCAGCTTGATCTGAGGCATGTTGACTAATAAGTAAAAAGTCTCATTCAGCTCAATTAGACTTTTTGATGTATTGTGGATGGATAAATGAAGGGGCAGCTCACTGAATTTTTCCAGGATAATGAGAATGTCTACAATAAGTGCTCACCATTAGCCGTGACTGTAGCGCATCTTTCTTCTTCTTTCCTAAAGCATTTTGTTGCTTTCATTGCCACTGTTCTGGTGATGATTTTGAGCTGAACTTCTCATGGCAAGGCACCTGAGGTGGCTCCATGTCTTCTTTCTATTAGGTAGCTCTCAGTCACTTTGTAGCCTCCCAGGCTGCCCGCTTGGAGATGTAGAGAAAAGACACCAGGGGAGGAGGAGTTACTTCATGACATCTTGTCTTCCCTGGGTTTTCACTGATACGTGGGGAGTCAGGGTGGCTGCAGGATGCTGGAATGATGATTGTAGTATGAAAGGACACCTCTTTGTAAGAGTAAGATAAGCAGGCAAACCACAAGCCCCAGCCTTGAGCATTTCTCTTACATGTCCTTCTCCTTCGAGCATTTTTTCAAAAGCAATGTCTTTCCCATTGTATTGAATGGCAATGGAAGAAATTGTCAGCATTGGACTAATTGTAACCTGATCGATATGCAGAACATATTAATATTAAAGGGGTAAAAGGCAGGTTTGGTATCGTATTAGGGCAACATTGGCTAATGGCTAAAGGGACGGGATTAAATGCTAATAAATAAATAAATATTCCAGTTGGGAGAGCCCCTACCTGGTTTTTAGATGAACTGGTCACAGTGTTGTGATACCAACTCTTCATCAACCAGTAAGTAACCGTTGGATGTGATATGAATTTAAAACTATAAAGACAGATCTATTCTTTATTTATTCTCACCTTTTAAAACATTTTCAAGGAATTTTAAGTGCCCCCCATTCATTCCCCAAGATCCTTTTCCCACAGACAGCTCCAATAGCAGGACAAAGGCCAAAATGGTATTTTAAATGGCCTTTGTCATTATAGATATATGGCAATCCATACTCCTCCCATACTCATGATCAGGTTCAAAAATAAATCACATCATCTGAGTTCTTGGGAGAGCATGAATAAAGGACTGGACTGTTGGAAACTGCCCTGAGATCTTCAGCTATGGATAATATAGCAGTGAAATAAATAATAATTAATAATGGAAAGAATGTTGGTTGTATAGTAATATTACAGAGAGCCAGTGTGGTGTAGTGATTAAGAGCACAGGACTGGGACTCAGGCAATCTAGGTTCTAGTCCCCGCTCAGCCATGGAGCCAGCTGGGTGACTCTGGGCCAATCTCAACCCAACCTACCTCACAGGGTTGTTGTTGCAAAGCTAAGACTGAGAGCAGAAGGTGGGGGATGATGTAAGCTGCTCTGAGTTCTTTGTAAGAAAAAAGGCAGAATAGAAATTCAATTAATTAATTAATTAATTAATTAATTAGGTATTTCACGCCATGCACTGTGAATTACAGCGGCCATATCCCCCACTTAGGCATGGGTGGATAGCTTGAAGTTTCTGAATATACAGGGCCTTCTGCCACATTCAGATTCACCAATGAGAATTCTGGAGTCTGCCATTTTTGGTGTCCTGCACTGAGCAATAGCCTCTAGGCCCCATTCAGCTCTTCTGTGATTCTGCGATACTGTAACTCGGGGGGCTAAGCAGTTCATGGTCCTCCATGGGCCATGGAGGACCCCAACTTTCCTCACATTGTTTATACCAGCTTGGGCCAATTGGGGGCCTTGGCCAAGACATCGGGAGGGCCATGCCTTGTTCACCCCAATGTAGCTACATCTCCACCTGAGAGTAGAATTTACTAGCCAAAGAGGTGGGTTCTGCTTCACTGAAGGGGCTCCTTGCACTCAGTGGAGGGGTAGGCTAGATGATCTCTGAGGTCCCTGCCAACCCTGCAGCTCTATTTTTCATTCTTGTCCTCTCTTAGAAGCAATTATTCGTCAGCTACTTTTCCTTCTCCCCTAATCCATGGGTTGTTGAAGTAGGTAAAGAGACAAGTGCTGTTCCTTGCACTCCACCACATATATTATTTAGGATTGTTCATTTCAGGAATGATAGCAATTGTTACAATGATGACTTCAGGAACTGAGTTCTGGCAGCTTTCTTTCTGTCTTTCTTTCTTTCTCTTTTACTAATCGGGACTACATATCTACCAAATCTCTGTTTCTGTTCTACTGCAAAATACCTTCAGGGGCAATCCTGTAAATGTTTAGACAGCAAAACTCCCCAGCACCCCACTCCTCTGCAAGGCAGGTTGGCCGGGAATGCTGGCATCTGCAGGACTCTCTTCTGTCTCTTCATGCTTGGATATGCACCCTTAGAGAGTGATCCTATGGCCTCTGTACCCCTAGAACTGCACCCTTGACTATCTGGATGAGCAAGTGAGCCACCGGTCTTTGCAGGAGGGGCCAGATCCAGATTTGGGCATGTGCCTCTGGGTGGCGAAAGTGGGTATCCCTGGTGCCTCCTTCCAAAGGCAGCCCCCCAGTCACCCCCCCAAAATGCTACACGGGGGGGCTGTGGCGCAGGTCATCCCAAAACTGGAGCAGAGTCACCTTCCAGAAGCAAAGTCCTTCTGTTGAGAGAAAGCAGATCTTCCATCCTCTATGAAGTTGCATGTAGGTGGATTAGGGACTGTGACCTGTTTGGCTGGATCCCAGCACACAAGTCACAGGATGGGGAGCACCGCAGTGGCAACATTTTGGTTGCTACAGAAGCCCCCTCATGTGCTCTTGGACCAGAGGACTGGGAGCAGAAAACAAGTCCATGTCAAAAGAGAAAGGCCACATGATTAGCATTTAGCAATCAGGACTGTCAGCATCATGAAGTAAGCAGCCTTTGCAAGATTCCGGCGGCCGCTGATCAGGTGCAGAATGTGATTGTACTAAACTTTAGAGATGCCATTTCTTTTCGGTTCATCTGCTGGATGTGGGCTTGCTTTAATCAAGGGAAGCTGGTGATGCTTGGGTCTCCCAAGCCATTGCAGCTTTCACTTTGAACCCTCTAGGGGCTGTTTGTGGTGCTGAACGCCACCCCCAAAATAGGTTTGCCCCTATGGAGCTCCAAGACAGCTATCTGCATAAAAGCTGCAATGGATAAGGAACCCCATGGACTTCAGTGTCACCAACTGCCCTGGCATCTATCCATGTGAATTTTAAAGAGGCACTGGAATTCCCTCATTCCTTTAGTGCCACACCTTCTAGAGGAATTTGAGATCATGGCGTATG